ATTCCAAAAAAAAAAAAAAAAAAAAAAAAAAAAAAAAAATCACATCAGTGTGCTTCTCGTCATAACTGTTTTATATCACTTTTTATTTACTGGTGATTTCTTTTCGTATTGGAAGATACCACAGTAGATACCACAGTGCAAAAAATAAATAAATAAATAAAATAATAATAATAATAAATAAAAAAATAGTGAGACAAGTCAAAATTGTTCAAATATCACCAAATTGGGGCCATCAATGAAGTGACAAAGAAAGTCACTTTTTTCATGCAATGACTCATTCCAAAAATATTAAAATAAAAGATAATACCACATGTAACATAAGGGCCTAACTACATCAGGATATGTTCACATACACAATAGTCTGTAGACCTACCTCAATTCATCAAATAAACTTAAAACTGTCATATGAAAAACTTTACTTCATTGCAGAACTCCCAATATTAACCCCTATATTTTTCTTCACTGGTTAATTATTCATGAGAGCTTTGTCAATGCAGGTACTTTTTAAAGGTGGTAATATACAGGGTGTCCAAAAAAAAGAAAACATAAAAATTTTGTAAATCCTGCAAAGGTCCATCAAATTTCAAGAAATTTGCTTGTCTTAAATTTCATTATGTGTATGATCATTTCCCAAAGTTTCAGTTATCTTGGTCTCTTTGCACAAAAGTTACGTTCTTTTTAAAAATATGCTCCAAATGGCTTCCTCGGTAATGGATGCATGCTTGCATACATCGAAAAAAAAATTTCAGTTTCTCAAACACATTCCTCCTTTGTGGTTTCCCTGATTTTTGCTGTCATTGCTCCCCACAGTTAATAGTATTTCCAAAATTGCTTCAATAAAGATAATATGCTAAATGGGTTGTTAGGGATGTGGTGGCGCCCCTTAGCGTATCCCTCGCCCCCCAAACATGACATGCACCTCTCATGACGCTTGTGTCATGAGACTAGACAATATGTTAAATTTATAGGTAATATTTTAATAAGACATGTAAGGTAGAGCTGGATAAAAATTGGACTGGTGGTAGGTAGATTAAGCACTTAGGCAGTGGGAATAAAGCTATTTAGAAATACAAGACTCTTGTTGCTTACTTCTTGATCAATGAATGTAAAATCTAAACTTACAGGGTCAGGGAAAATGTGCGTTTTGTTTATCTAAGGAGTCTACTGTAATTTTTTCTTATTAGGCATAAACCCAAACAATAACTCCACTGCTGCAACAATGGTAGACAAATGCTTTTTATTGGCATTTGTTATTTCATTTTCTCCTCTATGCTTATTCATTTTTATTTGACACCCAAAGGTTAGACAAATTCTGAAACATATTCCCAAATGCTATAAAAGCAT